TCTAAGTGCTAATACCACTCTATAAAGCCTTAGAAAGACCACACCTAGAGTACTGCATACAGTTTTGTTCACCACATTATAAAAAAGATGTTGAGACCCTAGACAAAGTACAGAGAAGAGCAACCAGGATGATTAGGGGATTTGGGCTAAAACATACAATGAAAGGTTGCAGGAACTGGGCTTGGCTAGTCTAGTAAAGAGAAGGACCAGGGGAGACATCATAGCGGTCTTCCAATATTTGAAGGGCTACCCTAGAGAGGAAGGGGTCAAGCTATTTTCTAAAGCACCTGTAGGCCAGACAAGGAATAATGGATGGAAACTGAACAAGGAGCGATTTAACCTGGAAATAAGGAGAAACTTTCTGACAGTGAGAACCATCAACCAATGGAACAGCTTGCCCTCGGAAGTTGTGGGAGCACCATCACTTGAGACTTTCAAGAAGAGATTGGACTGCCATTTGTCAGAAATGGTGTAGGGTCTCCCGCTTGGGTGGGGGGTTGGACTAGATGACCTACAAGGTCCCTTCCAACTCTGATTAACTGTTATATGTCTTGTCCCCATGCGCTTTAGAGAATAAACCGATCTCATCTTCTGTGACAGCCCTTCAAGTATTGGAAGATGGCTATCATATCACTCCTAAGCTAAATATAGTTCCTTTAGTCATTCATCATATTGTTTAGCCTCCAGACCTCTTATCATCTGTGTTTCTCTTCTCTGCGCTCTTTCTAGGGTCTCAGCATATTTTATATATTGTGTTGACCAGAACTGGATGCAATATTCCATATTATTAGTGCAATATAGAGTGGTATTATCACTTCTTGTGATCTTGATGCTATACCTTTGTTGATGCAGCCAGCACTGCATTGGCTTTTTTGGCAGCTACAGCACACTGCTGCTCATACTTATGTGATTATCTACTAAGACATCTAGAACCCTGTGACAGGTACTACTGTTGAGTCAGGTGCTGTCTATTCTGTATTTAATTCCTGAAAGGCTGTAAACATAATCACTAATAATTTATTGTGGGCTATATAGTGACTAAAATAGGGAGCCAGTGAAGAATCCTGTACTGACTAAGCCATGAGAATAACATGGAGGAGTCAAGACATCCCAAGCAATATTGTTATGGATGAAGATCAGAGGGGGGACTGAGAAAAACTGCCAGGAATTTACCACAGTAATCTAAGGATGAGGCAATGCCAATGATATCCAAAGAATGTGGACAACAATCCCTGATGGTCTAATGCAGAGGTGTCAAACTCAAGACACATGGGCCGGATCCGGAGATCTGGCCCGTGGGGTGTTTAGGTCTCGCCTGCGAAGCCACCCTGGACACACTGAAGGACCGGCCTGCAGTGTCTCTGCCAGTGAAAATGGAGCTTGTGAGAGCTGTGTGTGGCCCTCCCGGGCTCCATTTTTAGCAGTGATGGCCACCTGCAGTGGCCACCTGCCAGTGAAAATGGAGCCTGGGAGGGCTACCCTCCTGAGCTCCATTTTCACTGGCAGAGGGCTGCGTGTAGTTGAGCTGGCCATGCCCACCCTGGCCACGCCAATTTGACCCCTCCAAGGTCAAACAGAACCCTGATGCAGCCCTCAATGAAATTGAGTTTGACACCCCTGGTTTAAAGCAAAAGGAAATGGTATTTTTCTAGTTATGGGTAACCACTATAAATTCTTACTTTATTTGACCCAGGATAGATATGCGGTATGTGGAGCTCATCCAAGGATTTAGCTGAATTGGCTAGGGGACTGTTTCTCCTGTCCTCCAGCATCTGTTGCCATAGGTGGCTGCTTCACTTTGCCTAATATTAGGAGCAGCCCTTAAGTGAGGTGTAGCACATTAGGCACCTTATATATCCTGCCTACTTGCTCTTTTGCAACGCCTCCCTAGCCTCTAGTTTGGAAACTTGAGAAGGCAAGTATCTTTCAGGAGGCTAGAGATTATATGATCAGGTTTAATATTAAAAAATAACATGCTTATGAGACTGCTTTGTTCCTATATTGTATTTGAGTATTGAATTTTGAAGCAAAAACATGAAATATGAAGCAACTTCAGTGCAGGACATCCCCTTTAAACTGCATTTTATGGGATAGCTGTGATGTTGTGAAATATGAAACTGCCTGTGCCTCTTTCCCTTTGGTCATGGGCACACCTTCTGGGTGAAACCAGCCTGTCGAAAACTTCTTCCCAAACGCCCTTGTTAATTTATACAGCTGATTCATTAAGCAGTATTGCTTGTTCAGCTATTTTGGCTTTTGTAATCTTGTCTTTCTTTTTCTGGCATCTTTTCCAAGCCTTTTGTTTCTCACCCTTTAAAAAAAACCTGTTGTTCTAAAAAAAAAATGTAGGTACCAATTTTAATAGTCTGAAAGATAGGGTTCCATATTTGGGCATATCTGGGTGGTCATTAGATGGCTGCCAAGGGGGTAGCTCTATGGAAGTAACTCTTTGCTGCCATCTAGTGATTGTTCAGATTTTTTAAAGCTCAGATATTATAGCCTTAGTAGAGAGTGCAGAGAACAAGGATATCTTGGCCCTGTTATTATATTGCACAAGATAGATAAGCATAAATAGAAAAATATGTGAGTGAAGGGCCCAATTGATGCAATCACAAGAAACTATTGCTAAAATCTACCCAGGAGTAAACCATTTTAGGTTTATGCTTCCTTGACATAATGTTCCTCCTCAGAAAAAAAAATTGCCATGTCATATATAAATATATTCATATCCATCACCCTATTCTTTATTAGGACTTTATTAGGACTTAACATTTATTAGCAATATTATGCAAAGTACAGAAAAGGGTTTTACTGGAAACATGTTTGAAAGAATTATTGGTAAAAGGAAACCAGACTGTCAAAGGACATGATGGCTGGGCATTGTCAAAGCCGACACCAGCCAGAGCATAGAAAAATTCAAAGAAATGGTTCAAGATTGGAAGGTGTGGAGAGACCTGGCCCATAGAATCACCGAGAATTGGACTTGATTAAATGAATAACATCATCATCACAGAAAAGGAGTAAAAAATAGTAAGCCAAAGAAATTAAAATCACATACACAAAGGAAAAGGACATTTAGGTAAAGATATTTTATAGTAACCTCATTCACTAGCCCTTTCCATTCCTTTCTATCCTCGTAAAGCATCCCTGCTTCCACCATATCTACACACAGGTACATAGATTGCTTTTTTTGTTGGTTAGATCATGTGAAGAATAAAAATAAGCTTGCCTCATTTACCTGCTAAGAGTTTTGGTTTTTCTCTAATAATGGAATGTTGGAAAAGCAATCCACTCCTCCCTCTGCAGTTTGAAACAGTATGTGTCAACAGAACATTACCATTTGATTATATTGATTGGAAAAGATGAATGAAATACAAATAGAAGAGAATATTTGTAGTTCAGGATTAAAAAGTGGAGTCCTTGGTTGCTTTCTTGCAGACCTTTCAAGTTGAGTAATGAAATGTCTTCAAGAAAAGAACCAAGCTCAGAGAGCACCAAGGACTCCACAAGATGAACGAGATTTTGAGTAAAGGTGGGTGGTGAAGAAGGCAAACACAATAAGTGAATCTGAAGGAGCTTCCCGGATTCCTTCAGTCCTCTATGTAGCTTCTGTGAATAAACCATCTTGTTGGGACTATGATTTCAAATGTTTCCGTCTTAATAAAGAAAGTGAAGGCCAGCTTTTTCCAGTCCAGTCTTCTTGAATTGCTACCAGGTGCATGTTATAAGAATTGGAGGATAGATGATGCACTTATTATGTTTCCCTAAACTTTTCAAACCTGACACTAAAGTATTTCACATTAGTGCTTTGAATCTAAGCACAGTTTCTCAGAAATTGATTTTAGTAAAATTACATTTTAAAACTTAAAATAGATGTAATTAACATACTAATATAAGACTCTGTTTTAATGTTTTAAATTAATTATAATCTCTGCTGTTGCTAAACTGTAAGTATTATTCTTTAAATGGGGACCATTTTATTTGAAACATCTTAAGTAAAAATTACACACAAGAATCATCATAGAATTGTCAGGAGTTATTTATGCCATGGAATCCAATTACTACTCAGTGCAGGCATCCCTGAAATTTGTTATTTGAATACATCCAGTGAAGATGAGCTAATCGATTGTTGAGTAATTATTCTATGTTCTATACTCTGGAATGATAGAAGACAGGGCTTTCATCTATGTGTCATCTTTTCAGATATGTGGAGAGTATTACAATAAGGCTAAACCAGATTTGTGTAATGGTTAAAGCATCAAGCTAGAAACTGGGAAACTGTGATTTTTAGCCCCACCATGAAGACATGAAAACAACTGGGTGACCAGTCACTTTTTCTCAGTCCTAGGAAGGAAGCAATGGCAAACCATTTCTGAAAAACCTTGCCAGGCAGGGAATTGACCAAACAGTCTCTGAGATTCAGACATGATTAAATGGAAGAACAATAAAGAAACAAAAAGGAAAGAAAATTTCCATTTTTTTCTTCTAAAGATTAAGCATTCCCAGTTCTGCCAATCTTTCTTCATGGAACTCAGTTTTTAGCTCTTGAAGATAGATAGATGGATAGATGGATGGATGGATGGATAGATAGATAGATAGAGAAATTTTAATAATATAGATTTTTCAGTGTAGATTTGGAGACTAAGGCAAGAATGTCTAGAAGTACTTGAATTTGGGGTGAATCTGCTTGATTGATGCTTATAATATAACCACTGATTGTACCTTTTATTTTTGATAAATTAATGTTTATTGATTGGTGTATTGAATTTTATAGTCACAAGCTGATTAGAGACTGACATAAAAATGAATTAGCATAAAAATATTCATAATAAATAATTTAAAAAATACTTCAATTAGAATTACAGAAAACAAATATACGGTAGAAATGAAACATGGTTAATTATCATTTTGTAAAAGCTTGGTTTTCTGTGTATTTGTAAAATAAGCTGTATTTTTCTGAACTCAGAATATTTAGAATAATAATATATTTTTTCTTGCAGTCTTGCTTTTCACGGAGATCTTGATGGTCTGCTGGCATGGCATTTAGCTGGGGTAGATCTGAATCAAACTGGTTATGATGGAAACACTCCAGCTAACGTGGTAAGAATGTATGTGGATGACTATACATTATATTCCGATTTCAGTTCTAGATGCAGGGAATATTGGTAGGTCATGCTCAAAGCTTTGTAAGAGGTTTTTTCAGACATTTTAATGGGAATCACATTGAGGGAGATTTTGCAAGACCAACTGTACATGCATCACATCAGTTCTGCAATATTAACTCTCATGGCTGACTGGGGCAAATTCAGTTTGATAGTGCTGCCTCCAAATAAAGAGAAGTAGCTGGGCCAGCAAGTAAGAATTACATTGCTCAAATGGGTAATTGCCATGGATTTTATGCAAATACCTATACAATTGCAGTGTATGTCTCTATAGGTGTGCATATGTATAGAGGAAAAGAACTGCTGTCTAGCCATGGCATTAATACAATTCATGGAATTAACCCTTCTAATTAAGCATGTGTAGTATACATAGATTATTTATCTATTTTTCATGTGTCTCCTGCTAGTGCAGCTAAAAGAGGTTTCTAGACCATGATTTAAAAGTAGCATAATATGTAATAAAGTCTCAGAAGGAATAAACAGCCATAAAAGTGAATAGAAAATCAGAAGATCAAGAAAAATAAAACAACTCACTTTTTTTCTTTCAAACAATGGGTGTCTTTCAAGCATTCCTTGACTCTTGGATGGGGTATAGATAGTATAATTTTAAATTTTATGAAATAAAAACATTGATCACATTTTAATAAAGTTTCAAAGAATGTCAAATCATTCCTGGGAAGGTACTAAGTATTGGAGGATTTTGAAGCAGAGCCCTGACTGAACCATAAAACAGGATGATGCTTATAGGCACATATAAGCACATATGCGCAATATATATCATGAACATATTGAGGAGCCCTGGTTGTGCAGTAGTTAGACTGCAATATAGCATGTAAACTCTGCCCACAACCTGAAGTTTGATCATGACGGGGCTCAAGATTGACTTAGCTTTCCATCTTTCCCAGGTTGATAAAATGAGGATCCAGATTGTTGGGGGCAATATGCAGACATTGTAAACCACCCAGAGAATCTAAATGTTACTGCCATTGCTATTGCTATGTTTATGGAAGATATACAGTATATGTAAATTTTGCACTCAAGTCAGAAGCATCAAGGTACCAATGTGCTTCTGGGGTTGAATGATGACACCACCGTTGCCCTGGGCACACCCACTTGGGGGTTCCTTTCATGTCCCCAACAGCTGGAGTAAAGGATGAGAGCTCAACTCTGCCCCATGGCAGCTCTCAGCTCTCAAACCCAGGCTTGCTAAGGTCCTGCCCTATGTTCCAATCATTTGAGCCACCATGTTCCTTAGTATATGTAAATGTGATGGTGCTTACTGGCATTGCAATTCTTTTTTTTTTATAGGCCAAGGCTGCAGGACATGCAAAAGTCATTGAGTTTTTCAATAAATTGGCATCCTGAACTTGGTAAGTATTTTTAAAAAAACTAGCATTCATTGTTGTACATCAGTTGGTCATGCAGCACAATGTGGAAAATGGGATGGGTGAGGTCATGGTCCTCTGGTTCGAGTGTGTCATTTTGCCACTGACTTTTATAGCAGATATGCTTGTTTCTCTGCTTGAAGAGTGATTTGAGTGTAGAACTGGCTGAGAGTTAAGATACTTGAACCAGCAAAATGTTTTTAGGCATTTTTCAGTTTCAGTAAAGACAAATGTAATGTAAATACTACTCATAGTATATTATTTGGCTAACCTGCAAGGGTTTTGTAGTTTCAATTACAGACAAGTACATGAATGAATTAATAGCAACTAATATATTTCTCAGTCTTGCCCTTTCTCAAATCTTCAGGCTTTGCTTTATTACTTCCAAAAGTTTCATATAACTTTCTACTTTTATGTGTTTCCTTGTCCTCAAGTACCTTATAAGCTTTAGTCCATGCAAAAATATGTTGAAATTTATATTAGTCTTTAGGGTGCCCAAAGATTTTTATTTTGTTTTCCTACAACAAATTATAACAGCCATTCTTGTGAGCTTATTTCAGTTTGAAAAAAAAAATGAAATGAGATGATTTTTAAGTTGCTCTGTAAATTGGGGGAAATGTTATTTTGTGCGAGAATAACTAATCGGTATAATGCAGGCTTTTTTTTTACTTCAACTTACGCTACTTTACTTTTTCATGTAGTTTCATAGTCTACCTCTAGAAAGGACATTATGTTTGCGCTGAATTCCATGAGGATGTTTTCAGACCAGTCTTATTGCTCTGAGTTATTATCCTTTATACCTTCATACATTAAAGGACTGAAAAAAGCAGAGAAAGTATTTATAAGAACAGTTGATTCTCTTATTTAAGCAGTAGGATTTTCAAAGTTAACCACATTCCAGGTTTTATTTCTATGTATTAATAAAGAGCTCAGAAAACATTGGTATTTGTGGTCAATTTATATTCAGAATAAACTTTTGAGTGAAAACAGATCCCTAAATGAAGCATCCAGGATTTAACTACATAGATGCATCACATAATTGCAAAGTTTCTTTTATACAAGCACACACTTTTTTTTACTCTTCATCTCCCAAATCCCATGTAAAATTGGTACTTTTAAACTTTTTTCCCAACTGAAAATCACAAGATTCTCCCCCCCCCCCCCAGGTCGATCCATCCATACATCCGGTTTCCAAATCAACTTTGCTCAAATTTATATGCTCCAGATTTTCTGGCACTAGAGCTATTGGAATTGGCTGCGTTGGGTGGGAATCAGCGGTGGGATTCAACTTTTTTTACTACCGGTTCTGTGGCATGGCTTGGTGGGCATGGCAGGGGAAGGATACTGTAAAATCTCCAGTCAGAGGTAATATTAGCCGGTTCTCCGAACTACTCAAAATTTCCACTACCGGTTATCTAGAACTGGTCAGAACCTGCTGAATACCACCTCTGGTGGGAATTCTGTGTATTGCAATCCTCACGCAATTATATTTTACACAGAAACAGACAATTTGGGGGTAAGGCAAAGGTTTAAACCATTTTGGAATAATCTAGTTTGCTTTCTTAGATCAAGGATGGTGTCTCTCCGAGGTTTTTTTTAAAAAACAAGATTCAGCAAGATTAGTCTACTTCTTGAAACAGACTTTGGGATACTTCTTTTTTCTAATCTGTACAAAATTATAAAAGTAGTTCCTTTCCCACTTGAAACTCAGAATCCTGGTATGTATTGTCCCAGATCCTCAAGGTGTTCAGTTTTGAAACCACCGATTTCAGAGATGACATTCAGACAGGAGGTCCCTAGAATCAAATCGGCTATACTCATCAGCTTTTTAGAAGGGCAACAGTGGGCACACGTTTGTTTTCCTAGCTACTTAAAACTTTCTGGTAACGTACCCAGACAGATTTAAATTCTGAATGAAATGAAATGGAACAGGGATTTTAAAAAGTGTGTTGTGTTGGTACTCATGCTGTGGATCTGTGATTAGCTGAAACTCCCTCTTCAGAGCACAGTTGCTGACAGCTCTCTTTTTCTTTATAGCCATTTAACAAAGTCTGCAAAATCCCCATTGGGGTTTCAGGTTATTAGAAAAATGGCTCCTTCCATAATGTGGAAGAAGTTTCACATTGCTTCAGAGGCATGATGAAATGGTTTCTAGTTTTCTCTGGATATGAAATAGTCTTAAAGCCCTCATAAGCAAAGTTTCGAGCATATATGTTTGTATATTATGTTGAGATATACATAGATATCAGCATTTTAATAGTTGTCTATTCCAGCAACCAAATTGTCAGCAACATTTTTGCACTGGAATTATGTTGCAGAGAGAAAATTAATTTTGAGGGTGTTTTGTGTTCTCAGTTTGAGAAGTAAATATTTTTTCTGGAATGACTTGGGAGAGAAAGCAGACTCACAGATAAAAATAAAACAACAAAAAATGCAGTAGAAGACAGAATGTAGTATTTCAGATGATCCTGATAGAGTCAGGATCCACACTGCAATTTAGATACAACTTCATATACAACCATAGACTAAAATTTCCTAATTGCTAAGCAAGGCACTTGTTAATTGAGGTGCACCCCATTTTACAGCCTTTCTTGTCACAGTTGTTAAGTGAATTGCTGTAATTATTAAATGAATCATGTGCTCATTAAGTGAATCTGGCTTCCCCTATTGACGCTATTTGTCAGAAGCCAACTGGGAAGGTTGCAAATGGTGATCACTTGAGCCTGGGACTATGGAACTATTAAAAATACACACTAGTTGCCAGGCACCTGAATTTTGATCACATGACCATGGTGCTGCGGTTGTAAGTATGGGAACTGGTCATGCATCACTTTTTTCAATGCCATTGTAACTTTGAATTGTCATTAAATGTACGAGTGTAAGTCAAAGACTACCTTTTAAGGCAGATATTAAGACTAGGAAGGTATTATTTTATAGTAATACTCAGACAGCTAACCTCCTCTCTTTCTCTCCTTCTCTGTCATTTAAAAAAAAAACTTTAGATACATGATGTTCCTTAGTGACTGTGAGGAAGAAAGGCACTGTTTGTGCAAACTCTACAACCTACTGGAAAAAGCAATTGAATGCTTATGATGTTTAGAATTAACTTAGTATGGAGATTTCTTTTTATATCTGTCTTTTAAAAACAACAACAAATCCTTAATAAAAAAAAGTAGTCTGCCTATAAGGGTATCATAGATCCAAACTGTATTCCCATAGTAGCCTGTCAGATTGTATTTTGTTTTCAGGAAGTAATACATGATACTAAATCACACTTTAGTATTCATTGGTAAAACTAGGACTTTATGTCTAATCTAGTCTAGTGAAGAGAAGGACCAGGGGAGACATGATATCAGTGTTCTAATATTTGAGGAGCTGCCACAGAGAGGGAGGGGTCAAGCTATTTTCCAAAGCACCTGAAAGCCAGACAAGGAATAATGGATGGAAACCGAACAAGGAGAGATTCAACCTGGAAATAAGGAGAAATTTTCTGACAGTGAAACAATCAACCAATGGAACAGCTTGCCCTCGGAAGTTGTGGGAGCTTCATCACTTCAGACTTTCAAGATTGGACTGCCATTTGTCAGAAATGGTATAGGGTTTCCTGCTTGGGCAGGGGGTTGGAGTAGATGACCTACAAAGTCCATTCCAACTCTGTTAATCTGTAATCCATAGGAGTTGAAACCTTTGCTCCTCCTGCTGCTGCTCTTTAATTTTGATTGTCTCAATATACAGGACTATTATTCCCATAATCCCTAGTCACCATGGGCAATACTAGGCTGGGAATGATAGGACTCCAGATTCAGAAGGGCTATTTTGTACTCAAAGCAATTCTCTCTACAATTGAGATCTCTTGAGCTATTTGCTGTAATTCAGTGGTAGATAGTGTGAATCAACCCTTCTTAATAAAATTTAGAATTAAAGTGCATAACTCCACTTTTAGCATTCTAAGGAACAACGTGATCAGCTATTGGCCATTGTGTTAGAAACTGAATAGTAGATTTCCCAACAAATTTTTTTTTTTGATATGTGAACTGAAGATGGACTGCCAAGAGGACTGGAACCTTTGTGAAGATCACTGAGAAATAATGGGGAAAGATGTAAGCAAATCTTGAAAAAACTCGGAAGTTTTAATAAAGAGAAAAAAATGGGGGTGGGGATGGGAAAGAGGGGAATCTTAACTTCATGCAGATCCCAGGTGAGTAAGAACTGAGAACATCCTCCCTGAATGAGGATGCTTCATACATTCTTTCATACCCCTGAAACATTGAAAAAAATGGAAAAACTGGTTGGCCTATCTTGAAAAAAGATCTGTCTGTCTGGAATACTGTATGGTGAGGAGATTCTGTGGTGTTTTGTGGCATGTTCAGTTTGATACATGTAAAGCAAATCTTAGCATGAATTTAGAGATTCCTACTGTAGGAGGTGAGGGGAAACTTAGATGATTTCAGAAATCAAAGAATATCAGTATGTTAAGCAGATGAATAAATTGAAAGTTTCTATAGGTAGTGAAATGAAAATTAATCAGCCTTCTAGAGAATCTGATATGGGGTATAACTATATGAATTTGAAAACAACTTAATAAAATTTTGATTATTTCTCATGTTTCTCAAGTAGGCATTGTGAGTTCTTATTTCTAATGCCTCTGTTAAATTACTTACATGCCAAATACAGTAGAACTATGTGCTTTATAACCTTTAAAATGTAATGACGTGCTGCTATGGTTTTCAATAAAATATTTTGGAAATTATTTGTTCAGCATGAAGTGATTTTGTGTGTGTGTTGTCTGAGACAATATGCCATTTTACTCACAAGCAACCAAAGCTGCCCGGAGCAGTGGCTTTTCATACTGCTGATTTCATGCAACATGCTCATCTGAATCTCTTGTTTTCCACTGAATAATAATCTGTTGAATGCTTTGCAATTTTGGTGGCTTCTCACAAGATCACTCAATGCAAATTAAAGGTATCAACAAATAAACCTTTTCACTGGGCATTTGAAGATTGGGACATGTAGACAGCTGAGGAGGATGCTAATGGTGCATAACTAAAAATAACACTAACAATCATTTTCTGCATACTTTCAACAAAGAGGATACACTCAGACATGTTTTTTTCCCTTGTGTCTTATCAACAAAGGCAGGTTTTGAACTTTTCTTTAGAATTGACCTCCCTGCCCCTCATCTAAATAGTAAAATGATGCTGCAACAATTGTGATAACAAAAAACAGTAACTAAAGCCTTGCTGTAATCTGGATTGATTACATGGTTTCACAGAGAAATTTGCTCATATGCAAGAATCTCAGACTTGATAATCCTGAATTTTATTTCACAGACTTGTTTTATCCTGAATAAGGCTTGGCTTTTCCCATGTTTTTGTTTGAACATACATTAGAGTCCTCCTTGGTCTTTGTGTTTGGCTCTTTGCTTGCAGACATTTCATTCTCTGATCAGGTAATATGATCAGTGCTAGTTAGTATAGGGTTTGCTCCAAACAGCCTATTCAAACCTGTGCAAGCCTGAACTACATACTGTATATTCTCTTCTATTGAACACACATTATAATTTATAGTTTAAGCTCCAAACCATACAAACCAAATTCAGGTTTGATATCAAGTCGTTGATAACTTTACTACCAAATCCCCCCCCCCCACAAAAGCCTGATCTGCTATATTTTCAACATCCATTAATTGACTAGTCTTATTCCAGCAAATAAATAAAGGCCAGTTTGGGCTAGTCTAGTGGTTAAGGCACCAGGCTAGAAAGCAGGAGACCATAAATTCAAAGTCTGTCTTTGCCATGAAAGCCAATTGGCTGATCTTGGGCAACTCACTTTCAACCCAACACCCCCCTCACAGGTTTGTTATTATGAAGAGAAGAGGAAGACGTGTTGGATATGCTTGTTGCTTTGATTTATTTGTGTGTGCGTATATACTCTACGTAGCAAAGTATACAAATAAAATCTTAAGATAATTTCAAAAGAAAGCCAGACAAGAGGATGACTTTGAAGACACAATTTAAACTGTCCAGGACAGTGACAATTTATAATTGAAAATCGCAAAGTAAACAATATATGGGTGCAGTCTCAATTATTGTACATGTGTGCATAATTTTGCTTGCATAAGATAGTACCTCACCTGTATTTCTCTTCTTAATATGTGTTTCATGAACTATTATTCCACTTTTGTTTACTTGACAGATGTTTTCTCAGCTAACATGGGGTTATTAACATATCAAAGGCTAACAAGTGAGAAAGGCAGACTGGGATTCTAGCATGAAGAATCTTAGTCAAATCCATTATTTCCCTTACTCAGACACTATATTTGGCTGCTGTAATAGTAGCAACTGATGTAGAATCTTTTTGCTAAACTGGTTAAAAAAACCCTGCCTTGATAGAATCATAAACTCACAGGATCAAAAAGGACCTTGGAGATCAAGAAGAGATCTGAGTATTTTCTAATTCAGAGATAGGATACCTGATGCCCATGACAGTCAATGCCTCACCAACAAATCCCCTGCCATCCCCATCTGACTTTTTAAATAGATTATTTTAATTAAAAAATAAAATTAGGTGGAATCTGGCCATGCTGCAAAGAAAGTGCCAACTTCTAGCATGAACTTTATTTACAAGTACAATATGCCTCTAGGTCTCTTATGCATTTTTAGAAAAGAATAATAATAAAACTTGGATGGCTACTGTCTAGTGTTTTAAAAGGAAATCTGCCCACCTCAGAAAACAGCCAAATATACAGTAGGACAGAAAAGAAAACATCCCAAGGAAAATAGAATGGATTGGGCTGTAACCTTGCTTGCTTGTCTTTTGGAGAAAGGGTGTTTTGTGACTGGAACAGAGATCCTGGCATTTTATAATTGGATAAGTTGCCCTTTGGTGGAACATCCTCCACATGTTTCCATAATCCAGATTTGGTTGAAAGAGTTACCAGTAAGTAATGCTATCACTACTACATTTTCTTGGGGCATATCAGACATCCCATCAACACATCTTTCTAAGCTGAAGACTAAATATTGGGGTAATTCTTTTAAAAGGACATCAGTTCAAAGAGCTATAGTAAAATTTTAAGGATGAGTCATAGGAGGTCAAGGGACTATTGGCTATGATGAATGGCTACTTAGCCATTGGCTTGGGGATGGTTAGCATCCCATTTACATTATGAAGAGGAAGCTGCTTAGGCAAAACCAAAGTGGTAATTCTGCACAACTCCTCTTTCAAACATACTACCCATCCTACACACACACACACACACCTCTGGATTAAGTTAAAATTTGCAGACTAGAGGATCCCCAGACAGTATTTTTCTTTTTTCTTTTGATATATGTAAAACTTAGGACACTAGAAACAATGAATTCTGTGTGGCAAAGTAATGTCTGTAAATAATTTGGAAAGGGAAAAGGGGAGAGAGAGACTATATATACTGTCCAAAGCTATAAATCCAAGACAGATATTTTTCCTGATCTATGACCAAAACATACTTTCTTTAATTTAAACCTACTCTTTCCCATCTGGTCTGAGTAGATGGGAAACTAAAAGTAGTTTTACACTACTTTACAAAGGATTTATTTTATGTTCTATTGCCAATCCATTTCAAGGTTAATGTTGGAGCCAGTAGGGATTTATGATCACAAAATAGTTGCTGGCAGCACCAATGGCCAGCTACAATAATATATTGTCAAAAGCAACTTTGTACATTGGTTGATTAAAAGTACGGGTAATATGGACTTGTCCAGGCAATCTCCGAGAATTGGACATGAGGAAATTTTAAAAAATGATAATAGGCTACAGAAAATCCAGAAATAATAAATTTCATTACCATCTATGGTTTTATTGGTAGAGGGTGCCCTGAATGAAGAAGTATTCTCAGACTAGGGCAGGCAAAGTAGTAAGATTAAGATTATCCAGGCCTGAATTATCACCTTTATAGGATCTACTGGAACTCCAATGGTATCTTTGGTATATCAGACTCTTCCCACTATAATGCCTTCATGGCAGACCTTAAAGGGAGAGGGCAACATCCTCTTCTACATCTACCATGATGCTGGTATATAATTAAAAGCAAGAGTTGGTTATTCTCTGAATGAAAATAATATCTTATCACAGTATGAATTACCACACTCTTGGGATTCACAGTACATGCTCTAACTGGTCCTCCTGAACCTCTTTCCCATTAGAAACATATCTTTTCTCCGAGTATACTTACAATGCTTTCATGTATTACTGAGAATAAGGTACTTCCAATCTGAAAAACTGTCAGATTCATTTGTGCACCAAAGCATTAGAAATATGCTGCTGCTTACATAAATAGGGACATTCAAGCTCAGTCCTCTATACAACTAAATGGAAT